GGTCAACCAGAACACGATCCTCCGCGTCTACGAACGCCTCACCGGCGAGGGCCTCCTCGACCGCCGCCACGGCCAAGGGACGTTCGTCTCGGACACCGCGCCACGCCGCGCGACCGCCGTCCACCGCAAACGCCTCATCGAAGAACTGCGCCAAGTCAGCCGCCAAGCCCTCGGCCTCGGCCTCACGCGCGACGAAGTCCACGAGCTGCTCTCTAGCGCGCTTGACCAACTCGGCGCGGAGACTCGCGAGGAGATAGCGCCGTGATTGTTGAAAGCCCCAATGACCAAATCCCAATGANNCATTGGGGCTTGGTCATTGCTCATTCACTCCCCGTCCCCGCTTCCTCATCGGGTTCACGCTATGACCACTCCCGCTATCGAGCTCCGCGGCGTCGCCAAGTCGTTCAGCAAGAACCTGGTGCTGCGCGACGTGTCGCTTGCGGTGGAGCCGGGGAAGACGTTTGCTTTCCTGGGCCGCAATGGCGAGGGGAAGACGACGACGATTCGCATGCTGCTCGGCCTGACGAAGCCCGACGTCGGCTTGATCCGTGTCAACGGCATCGACCCGATGGCGTCGCCACTCGAGCTGCGTGACCACGTCGGCTACTTGGCCGAGGACCAGACCATGTACGGCTGGATGCGGGTCGATGAGATCGTCCGCTTCGTGGCGCCGTTCTACACGAAGTGGGACCACGAACTCGCCCGCAAGTATCTCGAAGAATTCGACCTGCCGCTCCGCACGAAGATAAAACATCTGTCGAAGGGGCAGACGGTGCGGCTCGGCCTGGTGCTCGCGCTCGCGCACCGGCCGGAGGTGGTGATCCTTGACGATCCGGCGCTGGGGCTCGACCCAATCATGCGCAAGCAGTTCAACCGCGACCTGATCACGCACCTGCAAGGCGAAGGCCGCACGGTTTTTTATAGCTCGCATCTGCTGTACGAAGTCGAGCCCGTCGCCGATGAGGTGGCGATCCTCGACGGCGGCCGCATCGTGCGCCGCGCCGAGACCGAAGAGCTGCGCGACGATGTGAAGCAGTTCTTCGTGGCGCCGCGATACGAGCCGCTGGTCGAACGCTTCGGCGAAATCCTCGACCGCCGCGTCGATAGCGAGGAGCTGGCGATCACCACCGCCCGCGCCGAAGCGGTCGCCGAAGCCCTCCGCCGCGAGGGCGTCACGCCGCAAGCGATGGACCTCAGCCTCGATGAAATTTTCGAAGCGTACGTCGCTGGCCAGCGCGGCAAGACAGCGCCGCCGCCGATCGCCGAAGAACCCCAAGAACTAGCCGACGCCTCGTAGGGTCCGCTGTGCGGACAGCAACAAATGTGGGAGGGGTCTCCAGACCCCGATTACGGTATCCATTCCGAAACGGCATGGTACGCGTAATCGGCGTCTGGAGACGCCTCCCACAAACCGACGCCACTAAACCTTTAAGCAATCACCACTCCCAACCTTTCACCACGGTCCGCATAGCGGACCCGACAACCATGAACGGCGCGATCTGGCGAAGCCTGCTGTGGAAGGAATGGCGCGAGCACCGCTGGAAGCTGGCGGCGCTGGTGGTGGTCGTGCTTGGCTTGCATGCTTGGGTATTGGATGCGACTAGGCCCGGACCTGCTCACTACGCGAACGCCTTCTGGGCGACGTTGTTTATCGTTGTGCCGATCGGGAGCGCCTTTGTCGCGATAGGTCTGGCGGCTGGTGAGCAGTCGCAACGAACGGCGTCTTTCATGAGGTCATCGCCGGTTGATCTCCGTGGGCTTGCGATTGTCAAGTTACTAGTCGGCGGGGCTACGATTGCGGCAATAATAATGCTAGCCGCAGTGCTCACGCGCGCTTTAGTCGCGGCAGCGGACGCGTATAGCTGGCAGTCCGACGCCAGCTCATTGGAATCGCTGGATTCCTTAAGACATCTCTACGAAACCGGCGGCTGGTTCTTAACCGCTCTGCTCATCGGCGTCTCGGTCAGCATCAGCCTGATACTCTGGATGGCCGCACCAGCGGTGAACAGCAAGAGCGAGGTGCGTGCAGGAGCGATCGGGCTGATCGTTGTCGTTGCGTGCTGGACGCTCTTAGCCTGGGGGGTGTACTTCGTGAATAGAGACGCGGCCCCAAGTTCTGATCAAAGAGTCGTCATAGCGCATCTCGCTGCGATGATGCCGGGCGGCATTTGGGTAGCGCTGATCTCGCTAGACGGCCTCGCCGGCCAGTCGTACTTGCTCTTTCCGTATCTAGCGACGCACGTCCCGCTCGCTTGCTGGTACATCACTCACTTTGGTCACACCGGCGACCGCGAGCGATCGCGGCTTAGCGATGCCGCTCCTTTGGTAGCTGCCGCTCCCGTATGGCTTGGGCCGGCACGACGATCGCCCCTGACGGCGTTGTTGTGGAAACACACCCGCGAGTGCGCGCCAATCGTGCTCGCCGGCGCGATTGGGGCTCTGGGGTTAGCGGTCACCACCATTTGCGTGCAGTATAGCCAGGGCAGCACGATCGATTTAATGGACATTACCAGCGAATCCGTACTCGTAGCCTTCATCACGCTCGGATGCTGTGCCGGACTGGTGTGTGGCGCCGGTGTTCTTACCAGCGAACTCGAACCACGCCTGTTCACTTTCTGGCGAACACGGCCGATCCCGATCGACCTCTGGTTTGCCATCGCGTTCCTTGGTGGATTGGCGTTGCTCGTCGGCGTCTTCGGCGTGCCGGTCGCTGTCGCTTATCAATTCACCATGCCCGAGGACCGTCAGAATGAGCCGTCACTGGTCCTAATCTTGGCGATTCTCGTG